TCCCTGTGGTCTGTAGAGCAGAGCCCAAACCTGTGAGCAGGATCTTAGCCTCCAGTGAGATGTGGGCCCCAGAAAGTTCTGCAGTTCCACCCGCAGCTGCCCCAGCACCAGTACCCCAGCCTGCCTTCTGAGTCTGGGCTGCTCGGCTCCTTTGGGTCTTAGGCTCCCTGGTGCCTCTTTCCCCTAAGGCAGGTCCCTTTCCTAGCATAGCCTTGATGAGGTTCACACCGCCTGTGGTGTCAGCACACTGAGGATTTCCATAAGGGAAGTAGGTAATGTTCAGGTGCCATATATCATACTCCCTGCTGTGACTTGTCTTTCCCCAAGACTATTGGCTCAGCAGGGTACCTGTTCTTGGATGGCACCATACCTTGCCTGTGGAGCAGGTGTTGAGTGACATTCTGGGCTCCAGGACTGTAGTGCATTGGCACAATGCCCTGTGGGTCCTTCCTGTTGAGAGCAGGCCCAGACTTTTATCACCCAAACCATCTGAGGCAGGGTGGAATTGTGTTCTGAGGGAGATGGAGCCGGTGGCCTATCTGCAGGGAGGCCCAGGACTGGCTCCAGCATCAATGGGCGTTAGCAAGGGGAGCAGAGTCCCTCCTGGGCAGTGAGTCCCAGTGCTCCCACCTCCTGCTTCAGGACCCCTCCATACCCAGGCCCTTCTCTCTCCCCACCAGGGAGCCCTCAATTTTGGGTAACTTAGACTGAGCAAGAGTGTTTGGGGGTCCCAAGTTTAGAGGCTGGGCAGATGGGGATCAAGGAAGAGGACATGAGAGGAACAAAGAGAGAAGGAGGGGTCAGGCTCTGATGCAGCTGAAGCTGGTGTAAGAAGTACCCCTCAGCTATGCTGTAGCCACTGAACCCTGGAGGTCATCCACAGCCTCCCAGCCGGTCTGCCCCTCCTGCACCCACTGCCAGCCAGCCATGGCACTCCTAGGCCACCTCTACCCCTAGCTCCAGGGGAGAGGGTCCTCTGCTGACTATGTGAGCATGCTCCTCTTTGACACACCTCCCCACCACACCAGGGGAGCCTCAGAGGCTGCTTCCTGGCCAGAAAGCCTGCCCTGCTGGCCCTGTACCTGGCTCTGCTGGACTTTCTCCTGGCACCCCTGCTAACAGCACCTCCTCACCCTCTTTAGCAAGCTTGCTTTCTTTCTTTCTTTCTTTCTTTCTTTCTTTCTTTCTTTCTTTCTTTCTTTCTTTCCTGAACTCCTCCCTCCTGCTAGTCCTCTCAGCTCATCTCAGTTCTCTGTCATGGCCAGAATGTGCCAGGAGCCCATGAGCGTCCACCCAGTATCCTGGCTATGCAGGAGGACATGGCAGGAGGGAAAATCTTCTTTACTTGAAATTCCCAGCTTCTGGAACGTCCTGGGTATCTCCAGGCTCTTTGCCGGCGCCAGGCCAAGCCACTCTACACTACCTCCCAAGTATCTCCTTGCTGCCCCTCAACTTCTCAGCCACCAGGATGGCTTTTCTTGTGAGGAGCTGGAAGCAGCTGTTTGGAATGCACAGCACTTGGAATGCACAGGTAACAAACACCATCCATTTGCTCGTAGCTTTGTGGGCAAAGATCCCCTTTGTGTCTGTCTCAGTGCCAGGGATGGGGGCTGCTTGCACAAGGTATCCTTGCAGACTGCCGAGGCCAGCTAGGCTCTGGGCGGCCTTCCATTTTCTGCGCAGGCCCAGGCCTGTACCAGCTGGGAACAGGCTCAGAGACCCAGAGCCCTCCAGTTTTGCTCTCCTGGGAATAGGTCAGAATGCTGATGCTTGAATGGGGCCTAGCTGGCCTGGAAGCCAAGACAGATGCTCTCTCCCATCTGTTCCTACAGAACACCAGGGACACGGCAGCGTAGGGGTCCAGGCCACTCTCTCCCCATGAGACTCTGAAAAGGGGAGTGCTCTTCAGGAGAGGGTGAGAGTCAGCTTCACCTGGGGAGGCCTCACCCCAGCAGTAGGCTCCAGTGTCTTTGGTGCTCTAAAAAGTGTCTTACTTGGGTTCTGCACAGGTAAATCTGGCCTGCAGCTACTGCTGATCTGGGGACCACAGTGTGGGCCAGAGTGAGCTCCCCAACCTAAGGGCCGCTCAGAGGCCCTTCTGGGGGAGCCGGGCCTTGCCCTAGGATGGCTCAGAGATGCCCCTGGGGGAGCTGGGCCTTGCGCTGGGTCTGCTCACAGACCTCCCTGGGGGAGCTGGCCCTTGCGCTGGGACCATGCCTGTGAACCTAGAAAACAGCTGCTTCCAGCTGTGCTTGCGCTAGCCCAGGGCTTAGTTTTCTTTTCTTTCTTTCTTTTTTTTTTCCCTAAATATTTATTTATTTGAAAGGAAGACTGGCACGCATGCACACACAGGAGTGACAGTGACAGAGAATCATTTGTCTTCTGTTCACTTGTTAACACCCCAAACAACCACAACAGCCAAAGCTGGACCAGTCTGCAACAGGAGCCAGGAACTCCATCAAGGTTTTCCACGTGGATAGCTGGTGCCCAAGGGCTTAAGTCATCCTCTAACTGCTTTCCCAGGTTTATTAGCAGGAAGCTGGATAAGAAGCAGAGCAGCTGTAACTTAAACAGGTACTTCTTCCAATCTGGGATTACCATGTCACCATCTCAAACTCCTGAAAGTATTCTATTTTCTTTTTTCTTTTATTTTCTTTTTGATAATGCTTATATAGCTGATCAGGGTGGGAAGGGTCAAAGATCAGGAGAAAGTGGGCAAGACCACTGTTTACACATCTTCTTTTTCTTCTTTCTGTATCTAGGGAGGGGAGGACACAATGGGAGAGACCACACCTCGCCTCCCCAATACTCAATGTCATCCCAGCGTCCCCGTTGTGGAGCATGTTCTAAGGGTTCTGCTCAAGAGGTTTCAATAGTTCTGAGATGCTGTTGATGTTGCTGCTCCAAGGATGAGAAAATCTTGCCAAGGTCAATTGGCTGACAGAGTCCACCTCAGAATCTCCATTCTCCCAGGAGTTTGCCATCAGACTTGACTGGGATAGTTGATCAATTTGTTCTGCCCTCCTTTCTCTGCCAACCAATGGGTGCTGTGGTCCAGTCCAACTCTGCTCACCAAATGCTTGGTCCTCACGTACACCAGGGGAATCTACAACCCAATAACCGCCTCCCCCCTCCAGTGGACCAGCCCTCAGCTCTGGTTCCTGTGCCTGCCAGCATGTTTAAGTGGACTGGTCTGGTCTGGCCCACGTCTCATTCAGATCTTGTATACATCACTGGGCATTGAAGGCTAACTCAACTGATTCCCCTCTCCAGGCCACACTCATGCTAATGGGTGCCATTACCTGTCCAGCCAGGCCTGCCCCCAGTCCTGGTTCTCATGCTCACCAATGGGAGTTGTAACCCATCAAAGAGGTGCCCACAGCACCCCCGCCCCGCGAACCTACTTGCTGCCCTGGATCTGGCACTCTCCAGGTGATTCTGCAGTCTAGCTCGACAGGACTTGCCCTCAGTCTCAGCACTTGCCTGCTGATGCTGCAGCAAAGCCCAACCAGCCTGCCCTTATTCTGGCTCATGAATGTACCAGTGAATGCAATCAGTTAGCCCAGTCTGCCTCTCCCCCTAATCCCAGTTCATGCGTAGACCAACAAGTGTTGTAGACCTGCCCATCCCAGTCTGCCCCCAGTTCCAGCTCACACTGGAGGATGCTGCTGCCCAACCCAGCACAGTCAGCCCCCAGTCCCAGTCCTAATGTGAACTGACTGGTGATGCATCAAGACCCAGCATGTCCTGTATCCTATCCTGGTTCTCAAATCTACCAGAAGGTATTATGAACTGGCACAGCCTGCCTCTAGACTTGATCCACGCATATGCTGACAGGTTCTGCAACCTGGTCTGTTCTGGGGTGCTCTTTGCCTTGGTTGTTGTGTTTGCCTGCAGGAGCTGTACCCTGACAAAGGAGTTTCCCAAGCTTCTTATTGTATCTCACGCCAGTAACAGATATGGTGGGTCCTTGGCTCAGGCTGACTTAGTCTACCTTCTGTCCTGGCAGAAACAGTAGGCTTGCCCTACTGACCCTTACCCAATCCAGTTCTTACTGCTGGTAGTTACAGCCTAGCCATGCCTAGTCTATGCCCTGATGCAGCTCTCATGGCCCAGTGGGAGATGAAACCTAGCCCAGTCCATTCTATACCCACTCTGACTCTCATGAACACCAGTGGGTGCTGAAGTCTAGCCCACCCTGGCACACCCCAGACCTAGTCCACTTTCATGACAAAGGACACTGCAGCTCTTTGCAACCCAGACCACCATCCCCATTCCTGCTTTTACAAGCCCCAGTGGGAACCATAACCAAACTGGAGTGTCCCCTTAGCTTGCCAGCCAGGCCTGCTCCCAGCTTCAGATCTTGCACATGCCAGTGGTTGCTCTGACTCAGCTCAACATAGCCCATTCCCTGTCTTCACTTTGCCATTGGATGCTGCAGCTTGGACAGACCCAACCTGCCCTCAGTCCCAACTCTCATTGGTGAGTGCTACAGCCTGGCCTGCCCAGTCTGCTCCCTTCCCATCCCTGACTCTCGTAAACCAGAAGTGCCTGGCTCCTGCACTTCTCAATGAGCTAAGGTTGGTCTGGCCCTGCGAGGTCCATCCCCTTCCAAAGCCAACCCACACACTTGCCAATGGATGTAGCTACCCTGCCTGGTCTGACCAACAGGCCTGAATCACATTTTCACCAGTGGGAGATACAGCCCACCAGGGGAGTTTCCCAGATTCCCCCACCAAACCCACCCTCACACCCAGATCTCACATGTGCCAGCAGGTGCTAAGTCCTTACTGGTCACGGACTACCCCTCCTTACCAATCTATGTATGAGCAGTGGATGTTGTGGCCTGGCCTGCCCCACACTGCATTCTTGGGTCTGCTTGTGGTTACTGCAGCCTGGACCAACCTAGCCTGTACCCAACCCACATTACCCATGAGTGTCTGAGGGTTCCATAATCATGCCTAGCTCAGCCTGTCACCATCCCCAGCTCCCAAGAAAACCAGCTGAAATGCAGATCACAAGGGTGGGCCCATACATTCCCCACAGAATCTGCCCCCAGACCCAGTTCTCTGGCATGTTGGTTAGTGTCAAGGCCCAGCCTAACATTTCTCATCCCCGTTCTGACTCTCCCTGGCAGATACTATAATCTAGTCCTGTCAGGTAGGCCCCCAGCCCAGGCTTTGATTTCACTACCAACTTTACCCTCAAACTCTCTCCTTAGGTAAATCTATGTCCAATGCCAGCACTCTGGCACAGCAAATAAAACTGCCTCTTACAAGTGTCGACATCCCATATGGGTGTCATTTGGAGTGCTGGCTACTCCACTTTGGATCCAGTTCCCTGCTAATGCACCTGGGAAAGCATCAGAGGATGGCCCCAGTCCTTAGTTCCCTGCACTCATGTTGGAGACCTGAAGGAAGCTCCTGGCTCCTGGCTTTGCACAGGCCCAGCTCTGGCATTGTAGCTAAAAAATTCTCTCCCTATCTCTTTCTATGACTCTGCCTTTCAAATGAATAAATACATCTTTAAAAATTTATGAAAGCATCTAATTCCCATTGTGAAATCACACAGGACAGCGCTGCATCACTAACCCCATAAGGAACACGATCACCAAGCCTCCAAGCCTGTTGCTGTCAGGAAGCTGATCCGCCCAGCTGACCCACTGGCAACATCCTCCTGAGGTTCACCTGTATCTCAGTCCCAAGCCAGCACCATTCCTTCAGGATCCTCTGTAGTTCTCTTACCTAATTTTCCGCCCAGAACTTTCTAGCACTTTATCAGCTTCTAGAATTCAGCAGCATGAGAGATGATGGCTTGGGAATTTGAGTGTGTTAGGACTTCAACTCACCCTCTCTGGTGGTTTTGTTGCCTCTTTGAGCCTGGGAATGTGTGCCTCCTTCCAGACCTGTCACCAAGACAAATGAAGCATTCTTACTGATGATTGCTTTGTAGGGTCCTGGTATGTTTCTGATTATTTATCTAGAAGCTTGTGAAACATACACTTTTTGTTCAGTGAGCTGAAGTTATATAGTGTTGCGCTTTGGGTTGATGTGTTTTCTTCAGTGTATGTAGTTCTTATATATGTATACATGAGTGAAGGGAAAGAGAGGGAGAGAGAAGGTGAGAGAGAAATGGAGGGGGGAGAGGAGGCAGGGAGAGTGAGAGAGAGAGTGAGAGAGAGAGGGAGAGAAAGGAGGAGAGAGGGAGAGAGAAAAGGAGAGGGAAGTAGAGAGAGAGAGAGATGAAAGAAAAGGAAAGAGGTGTCGCTGTCCCGCAGCGATGGACTTGGTGCATGGAGCCGATGATAACACGCGTGGACTCTGACTGATGGTCAAAAGCCAAAGTTTATTAGTGGCATCAGACTTTATACACTGAGGGTCATATGGGATAAGGGAGGAAGTATTGAGCTTATCAACAAACCCATCAACTGTTTCTATACTTTTTGTTTGGAACTCCTTTTGTTTTGTATATTCTACCAAGTGTTCTCATTCACATCTGTCCACTCAATAGTTCTCATACAAATTATATCCAATCAGTTATACAAAAGGTATCCATTTGGTTGTTATCATACAAATATTATCCAATCAATTGTAATCCAGGGCTCACTGACCTTCCAGGGTCATAATGTCCTTCAACAGAGAGAGGGAGGGAGAGAGAAAGAAAGGGAGGGGGAGAGAAAGAGGGAGAGGATAAGGGATAGGGTGTCCTTTTCATTCTGAAGGTTAGTTTCTGGAAATTCATTGAATTATTTCTTAAATGTTTCTGTTTTCTGCTTATTTGTTCCTACTATCGCTGAAAGTCCTGTTCTTTTTATATTAGACTTCTTGGGCAAGGTTACACATTTCAAAATATTTCTCCCTAATGTTTTCTCTTTCCTTGCTGAATTTCACATTTCTGGGATCATATTTCTATTACCTAAAGCAATTTGTCAAATTGTTTGAGTGATTTTCCACTCTTGTAAAACACAAAATTTGTTCTTGGGTCATGGCTATAATATTTGCCTATAGTGATATTAATGTCAGGTTTCTTTTTAAAGATTTTCTTTCTTTTCTTTGTTTCTGCTTCCTTGAGATTATTTGCCTGTTGGTTTACTAGTTTTGGTCTGTGGACTTAAGAAGTCTGGCTTCAATGTATAGTGAGTGTTCTTGATTATCCATTTACATTAAACAGGGAAAGGAAACAGTGTTCCATCCAAGCAGAGAAAACCCAAATGGATTCCCCCTTCTGTTTAGGCAACAATAAAGCTACAGGAAAGAGTATCTGAAGTGGCACCATGAGGGCATGACTCAGAGAAGCCAGGTGGCACTCTGCCTTCCTCCTAGACTTCTGCCAGAAGCACTGTCCAAGCAAAAGCTCTTAATTGCTGTTGAGGGTGGGGACAGATAAAGTCACTGGCAGCACAGCAGAGGGGAAGGGTGGTGCTAAGAACAAATTCAGAAACTTCACAGTGGTTTTCTTGAGTCTCTGGCCAAACACTAAGCTTGAATGTTTAAGGTAGAATCCCCAGAAACAAACCAGAACAAATGCCCACAGACAGAGGTCACCCAGTATTAAAAGGAAGGACAGGACTTGCAGAATGTAAGCACCCAGAGGAAATAATCCTGAACGTCAACAAAACAGACTATTTCCTGAAGGACATTGCATAGTCTAGTCCCCCAGTGGTGTGCACAGCCTGGTTAAGTAGCTGAACAGAAACTACTAAACATAAAGAAGGCCCACCAGGAAATCCATTAAAGGAACGGCAGGTCAGTAAGGAGCAATTAGCTCCAGAGCTGCTCCCACAAAGCAAGGACTTAAAGGAAAACATGAAAAGAAAGGGCAAATCGAGGGGACTCAGCATAGAAATTAAAAGGTGAAAAGGAAAAAACTGGAAATTCTAGAACTGAAAATACAATATCTAAAATTAAACATTTACTAAGTAGGCTTAACAGAGGATAGACCATGCAGAAGAAGGGGTTAATAAACTTGGAAGAATCAATAAAAATTTGCCAGAATTGGAACTTCCATAACCTATGGGAGGAGTACAGCAAACACTGTGAAATGCAAGAAGAAAGGAACAGGAAAAATACTCAAACACTGTGAAAACTTCTGATTTTGGTGAAAAGTATATTCTGTATATCCATGAAGCTCATAGAACCCCAAGAAGTGTGAACACACAGAAACCACGCCTGCAACCACATTATTGTAGCATTGCTATAAATAATAATAAAAAAAAAGTTCTGGAAAAGGTCAAGAAAAGGACATGGTCCAAGTGCTTGTAAGAAAACAACAGTCAGGATAACTTTGGGGTTTTCAAGAGAAACGATGTAACACAAGAAAAATGGAAGTAAAGAGAAACAGGTGCAGAAGTGTGCATGCACTGAAAATACCTTTGGAAATGAAGCTGAAATGAGGGCATTTCTGAATAAGTGAATTCATGAATACTATTGTAATAATATGGGGGAAATCAGTGTGTGGGGGGAGGTGATTTAAGGAGGAGGGCAGAAAAATCCCAGAGCTGTATCATAAAATAATTACAATTTTAAAAATGAAGAAATCATGAACAGCAAAGCTATGCTTGAAGAAACACAAGAGCATTTTAAAAAATATTCATAAAAACTGTTCATTTAAAATTGTATCTACAAACTTAAAAAAAGATTTATTTATTTACTTACTCATATGAAGGGCAGAGTAAAGAGGGGAGGTGGGAAGAGACTCTTCCAATTGCTGGTTCACTAAAATCTAACAACCAGGAGCCAGAAACTCCATCCTGGTTTCCCACAGGAGTGGCAAGAACCCAAGTACTTGGGTGACTATCTGCTATCTTCCCAGGCGCACCAGCAAGAAACTGGATAGAAAATGCAGCAGCTGGCGGGCTGCAGTGGTTAGACAGAGGCACCCAACAACATCCGTGAGGGCTGGATAGTGGAGCTGGTTAGATGGAACTTGGCTTTAATACCCATTGACATGTATGAGCGTCAAATGGGATGTGGGACAGACTGGACTAGTCTACTACAAATACTGGCATACCAGGGTAGGGGGCGGGCCTGGTGGGGGTTATCGTGGGTCACCCTGACTGAGCTGCAGCTCCCACTGGTTTACGTGAGGGTCCAGTGTGTGCAGGGCAGAACCAGGCTGGACTGCAACACCCATTGGTTCCAGTGGAAGACAGGGCTGGAAACAGAACCAACCCAGCAATTGCAAGCACCAACTGATTGGGGCGATGGACTGTGCTGGCCCCTGTACTTGCTAGTACATACAAGAATCTGGTCTGGGAACACCTCAAAGTTTCTTTGGGGATCTCCCCAGTGAACTGCCAGACTCAGAACCCTAACCATGAAAAGACAGAGGACAGAACAAGTCAATCAACCACCTCAGCTATATGTTGGCAGTGAAAAACTGGGCAAACGGAGACTCTATGATGGACTATGTCAACCAGTGGATTCTTCAATGACCCCATTGTGCTTGGAGTGGCAAGATTGGAAGCGGTTTATGACTGTTGAACTATCAAAACCACTATAGCAAGACCCTCGGAGCATGCCCCACATCAGTAACTGGGGGTGGGTGGAAGACTGGGTGGGGCTTCTCCCTTAATATCCACCTTTACCTCAGATACATGAAGGAAACAATATGGAAACAATAGTCTTACCCACTTTCCTGTAGCCCTTGAACCTTTTTACCCTAATTAACTATGTAAAGATTGCCAAAAATATAATAAAAAAAATTTTAAAAGTTGAAAGAAAAAAAAAAAGTGCAGTAGCTGGGGCTCCAATACACTCTGACGTGGAATGGCAATGTTGCAAGCTGCGGCTAAACCACTGTACCACATGCTGGCTACTATTGTTAAGTCTCTTAAATTGTTTATAAGCAAGCACAATTTCACTCAGTAGCCTGTGATAAGTTAAAAGCAATAATGTAATCCTTAGCACACCCACTGAAAATGAATAAATTAATATTTTTAAGATTTATGGAGGTTTGTTCCAGAACTCTCTGGTGTGTGCCTGAAATGGCATAGTCTATGAACTCTAATCATACTATTTTCCCCTATACATACATACAAAAACCAGATGTCTTTTTCATCTTAACTAGGCATGTGGCTGCAGCAATTGCAGTTGAAAGGTGTGACAGCAAAACTAGCACAAATTTCTTTTTGCATCTTTACAATTTCACACATAGAAGACATGTTCAGACTATTAATCTTACAACTTCTACATATGATTCTTCCCTTCCCTTCCCAGGAATTACTTCTTTTCCACGGAAAGGAAGCATTCCAGAGCAGCAGATTGGAGTTGGCAGCATTGCTAACCTTGCGCTTGGGGACCATGTTAAGTGGAAGAAACGTCAGCTGACACAAGCACCGTGAACCTACAGTCTTACTGGCCGCTGACTGACAAAGGGGCAGACAGAACATACAGCATGTAAACTAGGAGGAGCCACATCCTGGGTGGGCAGACCGGGATGGCATGAGCTTGTATGACGTTACCCAGCATGGTCCATTTTACCACAATTGGGCATAGATGAGGGAAAGCAGAGAAAATGAAACCGTGGATGAGTTAGGATAGAAAACTCAGTTCTATACTTAAAATCTGAGTCATGGTGCCTGACACAGTGGCCTAGCGACTAAAGTCCTCTCCTTGAACGTCCCGGGATCCCATATGGGCGCCGGTTCCAGTCCAGGCAGCTCCACTTCCCATCCAGCTCCCTGCTTGTGGCCTGGGAAAGCAGTCGAGGACAGCCCAAAGCCTTCGGATCCTGCACCCATGTGGGAGACTTGGAAGAGGTTCCTGGCTCCTGGCTTTGGATCGGCGTAGCACCAGCCATTGAGGTCACTTGAAGAGTGAATCATCAGATGGAAGATCTTCCTCTCTGTCTCTCCTCCTCTCTGCATATCTGACTTTGTAGTAAAAATAAATAAATCTTTTTTAAAAAATCTGAGTCATGGAATGACCAATCCCCCTGGAATCCCAGTTTCCTCACCTGTAGAATGGGTGAAAATATCTGCTGTAGATTGTGGTGAAGGTAGGTTTCAAATTGTGGCTCATTCCAAAAAAGTTTTGAGGCAGTGTGAGAATGCCTGCAAAGAACAGAGCCTCCCGTCCTCCCCTTACCCCGCCTGTGTGATTCTCCCCTTTCCCACTCAAGATATTGCTATCAACTTCAAATTTCTTTTTACATTTTATTTTTTAAATTTTATTTTTAATAATGTCTACATGCCCATATGAGTCTCTGGTTAGAGTGAGGAGGGTGAGGTAAGGAGGAAGGTGGGTGGAACACAGGTTTCAGTCTTTTTTTTTTTTTCCTCATATACCCACAGGGGAGGAAGCATAGGGGTCCTTTTCTTGCTGTCAAACTACGTCAACAACCAGGCATGGGGAACAGTCATTGGATGATGCCTTAGAGACCCAAGTGTGTGGAAGAGTGTTCAGAGGGTGTTTTTTCAGTGGTTTTCATAGTTTTGAGAAGTTGCTGGTTTCATTGGGAAATCTTTCCAAAGTCTATTTGCCCAGGAGAACCGTCCAACCTGTTCTGCTTTCCATCCTCTCACAAGGCAGTTGATGTCTCCTGTTCACCTGCATAAGCTGGCTGTCATGTCCCCTGGCTGCATTGGGACATGCTGTCCATTGCACAGACATCAGCAGCTGAAGAGGCCCAGTCCAGATACATGCCCTCCAAAGTCAGACTACACATCTGTGGCCAGGGTCTGAGTCCAGGTGACCTCAGTCCTGACTCTTATGTGTGCCATCCAGTGTAGGGTCAGGTTTGGTCTGTCACCTGCATCAGCCAGCACATATACTGGTAGATGGAGCTTGGTCAGTTCTGCCTCAGCCCCATATCACACATGAATTTACCCAGTCCTCACGCATTCAGACAGGTGCAGCTGCCTAACTGGGTTAATCTCCAATAATTCCCACCAGGCCCACCTGAACCCCACAGGTTTTTTTTTTTTAAAGATTTATTTTTATTATTTTTGTATTGGAAAGGCAGATATACAGAGAGGAGAGACAGAGAGGAAGATCTTCCGTCCAATGATTCACTCCCCAAGTGAGCGCAACGGCCGATGCTATGCCGATCCGAAGCCAGGAGCCTCTTCCAAGTCTCCCACGCGGGTACAGGGTCCCAAAGCTTTGGGCTGTCCTCGACTGCTTTCCCGGGCCACAGGCAGGGAGCTGGAAGGGAAGCGGGGCTGCCGGGATTAGAACCGGCGCCCATATGGGATCCCAGGCATGCAAGGTGAGGACCTTTAACCACTTGCGCCACCGCGCCGGGCCCAACCCCACAGGTTTTTGCACATGCCAGCCCCACATCTCATTCAGCTCTTGTGCACACTCACAGGTACTGTGGCCTAGCCTGACTAGCCTGCACCCACTCTGGCTCCCACTGAGGTGTGCTATAGCCTACTTTAGCCTGACTTACCCCCAGTCTTGTCTCTTGTGTGACACAGTGGATACTGTGGCTTAGCCTGGCCTGTCTCAGACCCATTCTGGCTCTCACAAGCACCAGCAGGTGCTGGAGTACAGCCCAGCTTGGCTCACCCCCAGACCCTGCATGCCAATGGATGCTGCAACCTTGCCCAGCCCGGTCAGTTCATAGTCCTGGTACTCACACTCACCAGTGGGAGCTGCAGTCCAACAGGGGATTCCCTAGATTTCTCCTACCAGACCTGTTCCCAGCCCTGGGTCTTGCACATACCAGTGTGGGCTCAACCAATCTGGCATGGCCCACCTGCAATCTCAGCTCTCCCTAGTAGGTATTGCAGCCTAGCTCAGCTCACATCCTGTCCTGGCTCTCATGTGTGTCAGTGGGTGCTGTGCCTGACCCAGTTCAGCCTGTCCCCACGCCCAGACCGCACAAACGCTAATGAGTGCTGCAGCCTGCCCTGGCCTGCCCCCAGGACCTGGTTCTTTTTCTCCTTCTCCTTGCCTTTCCTCTTCCCCTTCTCCTCCTCCTCCTTCTCCTCCTCCTCCGTCTTCTTCAATTAGTGTTTACATACTTGATCAGGTTGGGAAGGATCCAGAATTAGGGGGAAAGTGGGTGTGACCATTGTTTCCAAAATTTCTATTTCTTCTTCCTGTAGAGGGTAAGAGGTGAGATAAGGGGAGAAGCCACTTCTAGCCTCCCAACTGCCCCAGTACCCAGGGATATCAACCCAGTGTTCCTGATATAGAGCATGTTCTGAGGGTTCTGCTTAAGTGGTTTTGGCAGTTCTGACATGCTGTCAGTCCCACAGATGCAAGGATGGGGAAACCACCTTACTAGAGCCCCTCTGGACCCCTCACATCCAGGGCTCATGGACCAAGCATCCACCACACAGGCACAGCCCTGGTTCTTGTGCTCCCTCTGGATCTCATGTGTGCCAGTAAGGAGAGCAGCCCTGCTGTATGGTCTGCCCTCAGTTCTAATCCTTGCATGCACTGATAGGAACTGCAGTCTGGCCCAGCCCTAGTTCCTATGAGTACCAGGTGAATTTGTCAGTTATGTGGTCCAGACTGGCTCAGCCCTTCACCTCCACCAGCTCTCCACGCAAACCAGCAGGTACTGCAGTCCCACAGACAAGTCCACAAGTCCCCTAAGAGTCTGCTTCCAGATCTGGTTGTCTCGTGTCCTGATGGGTGCTGCAGGCTAGCCTGACATGACCTACAACCTGCTCCAACACTCTCAGGTGGATACTGTTGCCTAGTCCAGCCAGGCATGCATCCCAGTTCCAGCTTTTGTAAATGCCAGTGGGCAATGGGAGATGGCTATTTAGTCCAACCCAGGTCTCTTACGTGAGTGGGTGTCTTATCCTGACACAGACATGACCTCTGGTTTCTCCCCGCTAAACCACTCCATCTCAGCTCCCCTGCTTAACTACGAATGCAGTGGCCCAGTCTGTGGAAGACCCCAGACATAATTTCACCCCTATCAAACACACCCTTAAACACTCTTACTCCATTAAGTCCTGAAACCCCTTCCCCAGGAACCCCCAACCTGGCTGCCGGGGCTGCTTGTCCTGGCCGAGTTCCCCATATTCCATACTTATCTTTTTTTAAAAAAGATTTATTTTTATTTTTATTGGAAAGGTGGATATACAGAGAGGAGAGACAGAGAGGAAGATCTTCCGTCCGATAATTCACTCCCCAAGTGAGCGCAACGGCCGATACTATGCCGATCCAAAGCCAGGAGCCTCTTCCGGGTCTCCCACGCGGGTGCAGGGTCCCAAAGCTTTGGGCCGTCCTCGACTGCCTTCCCAGGCCACAGGCAGGGAGCTGGATGGGAAGCGGGGCTGCTGGGATTAGAACCAGCGCCCATATAGGATCCCGGGCATGCAAGGTGGGGACCTTAACCACTGTGCCATTGCGCTGGGCCCCCTACTTATCTTTTTAAAAAAGAATAAGCAACCATGTTGGCAAACTGGCATATTAGTATAGTTAGAACAAATTTGACATTAACCAGGCCCAGAATGCCTGCCAGCTATTGGCTGCTTTTCTCCCAGTAGTGTACTAGGTACAGGGCAACCAAGGCAGTTGCCTACAGCTGGGGAACTGTTCCCAATTTTTGATTCACTTGTAACAGAACTGACAAGTGGCCAAGGTCTAACTCAGACAAGGCTTGTTGGGAACTTCTGATCGTACCCAAAGGGAGGCGGTACAGCAGGAAGAGGTTTCTAGAAGGTAGCTGAGCAAGGTGGACTGGTCCGCTCTGTCTCTGATTGCCCTGCCTGGCACTTCGCACTTATGCTTGCCCTAGCTTGGTGTTCAACATAGGCTCAGTCATTTATTTTGCATGCTGAATGCTCAGATCAGAGTGCTGCTAGTGACAACTTCCTTAGAAGTAGCATTATTATTTTTTTCTTTATTGATTATATTGTATTATGAGACATTGTTCTATAGGTACTGGGATTCCCTCCACCCCTCCTCTAACCCTCCCCCTATGGTGGATTCCTCCACCTTGTTGTGTAACTACAGTTCAAGTTCAGTTGAGCTTCCTTCATTGTGAGCATATACCAAACATAGAGTCCAGCATCTTATTGTCCAGATAAGTCCAACGGCTTCTTGGGGAGACCTTCTCTGGTCTGAAGGTAGGGCCAA